ATAACTAGTTCATTTTGGATCGAACAAAATGCGTTGTTCTCAATCGCTTCTTGTACACAAGCTGCAACTGCGCGAAGATGTGCGCCTACGTTGTGCACTTGTTGCAGCCGGTGCCTTCAAATATTTTTCTTTTAGGGGCAAAGCTTTTCACGCCATGGGTCGTATGTCGCGTGTCGTCGTAGTCGTAGTAGCCAGTAGCATTGCAGTGCATGTCAATTAAAACGGTGTCACAGCATATCCACGGAGGAAATTATGATGAGTGGGGCGAAGCGTCCATCAGTTCGTCCGTGCTTACATGCGTCCATCCTTCCGTCGGTCCATCCGTTCCTGCGTTAGTTCGTGCCTCCGTCCTTCCATCCTTCCGTGCGTCTGTCCGTCCATTCGTCCGTTCCTGCGTTCGTCCGCGCGTTGGTCCGTCTGTGCGTCCGTCCGTGCGTCCGTTCCTAACGCCTACGACAAGAAATGCGCTTTAAAGCTTGTGCGCGACAGCCAGTTTTTGCCCATGCCGGCGAACTCCAGTTATGAAAATGATGAGTCAAATTACTTAGTTCACATGATTTTCCAAGGGAAAATAGAATGTCGTGGAGATGCTGAAAGGATATTGATGGTGGGGAAAGTCTTTTCATTAAAGCGATGACTTCAATAGAATGCAACATTTTGCATCACATAGGTATATTTTTTGTGTAAGGAATGTTGAAGAAAACGAATTGTGGGCAGTGCAGGACTGCAATGAAGGGCTCAGTGAGCCATGAACACGCATATTTAACTGCACTGAATAAGTATGTGCAGAATAGCGAGAATTTGTGTTATCCGAGTGGTGAGGTTATGAGCTCGCTCATATCTTGTGAAGAGGACTTGAAAGGGATCACATCCTGAGCAGACAACCTATTCACCCTGATTTCCCCTTTCAAAGCTGCAACTTAATATTCAATCAAAATGGTGAAGTGCAGCGTGCAGGCATGCCAGCAATAGATTCTTCTCTTTTTTCTCTGGAAAAAATGTTGATATCAAGTTATGCACGAGTAAAGCTGCGCATTCACCTGCACCAGCTCGAAACAATGAGAACCTGCGGAAGTGGAAGCAAGACATGCGCTGTGGTTAGCTTGAAGTAAGTTATAACGCTAGTTTTTTTTTAAATATAATAAAGTTATTGTCCAAATAGAGCTGTGGCATCTGAAATTGCTGTATAATAAATGAAATTTGCTTGCTCATTCTTGTAAAATCGTGTGGTCGCTTAATTTAAGGATATTGATGAACGCTTTGAAAATTGCTAATTTGCCATATTTTCCTATAGAAAACACGCTATAAACCTGGTTTGTCAGTTAATGTCTGCGTGCGAGCTATGATTTAATGCCATAAAAGCCACATGTAGATCACCAAATAGGATGATGTGAAACGAAGCGTCCGTCCGTCCGTGCTATGCTGTGCTTCGTGAATATGCTGGACTGACGGACGTACGGACGGACGCATGAACGGACGCACGGACGCGAGCATGCATAAATGCTTCGCCCCACACATCAACATTCACGCCGTGGATATGTTGTGATTCTTCTCTTTTTTCTCGACAGCACATATTTTTTATAATTTTTTTTCAACCAGCTGGAAAATGGCAACTGTCTTTACACTTTTATGGAATGCACACAACACACAGACGCATTGAAAGGTCACGTGCCTTAGGTGCCGGTGTTTCACATCTTTAACCTATATAAATAGTTAGCGACTAGTCCAAAAAGACGCTAATTGAAGGTGTTAACGAGGCTTGCGTCGACGGTATTTTTCTGCTGCGAGCAACTCCAGCTGCTAATGTTACTTTAAAAATGAAGACTAGATATCTAGAAACTTCACACTCCCGATGAAAAAAATGGCAGCATATCCACGGAGTGAATGATGGAGAGTGGGGCGAAGCATTCGTCCGTCCATGCGTCCATCTGTGTGACCGTTCATGCGTATGTTCGTGCGCCCGTCCCTGCGTTCGTTCATGCATCCGCCCCTGCGTCCATCCATGCATCTGTCTGTGTGTCCGTTCCTCCCTCTATTCAACACTCCATGTCCCACTATCTCCCATCTTTTTATCATATATTCCCCATATAGAAGCAGCGCCATTCAGTGGACATTCCAAGGACTAAACGAGAGGTGGCACACGCACACTTTCTTACGGCTTGCGCTTCGGGTCTACTTCCCACCTTCCACCACCTTGAGTTCATGGTATATACTAGTTCACTGTATTCATGGCACTGCGGCCCAATGCTCGCAAAACCTGTCTAAAACCAAGGAGGTTACGCCCAGCGAGTATAACGTAGCAACCTTTTCCTGTCAGATAGTGCTCAATGTACATGCCAGTGGCTGCTAATGTGAAATGAGAGACAGGAGGATTCAGCTTTTAATTTCTTACGGCTTGCGCTTCGTATCTGCTTCCCCCCTTTAACCACCTCGAATTCATTCATGGTATATACTAGTTCATTGTATTCATGGCCCTGCGGCTCAACGCTCGCTAAACCTTTCTAAAACTAAGGAGGTTACACCCAGCGAGTATAATGTAGCAACCCTTTCTTGTCAGGGAGTGCTCAATGTACATGCCAATGGCTGCTAATGGGGATCGCAGCGTGCGCGTTGACTAAAAGCCGAATGCTCCTGTCTCTCATTCCCCATTAGCAGCCATTGGCATGTACATTGAGCACTATTTTTTATTTTTAAAAACGCACAGAAGAAATCTCTCACCGGCACCACCTTGGAGGTCAAATGTTATACCTATTTCGGGTATGTGCCACTGGTGGTTACGTACTACGAGGGACGCACAAGCCACGCCATAAGGAGCTTCGCCCCTAAACCTTTGTATTTCTCTCATGTTGTCTGAGTACCACACGTTTTGACGCAACATACTCTGTATGCAGCCGCCGCAACACTCGTCGGCTGGCCGTCGTGGCTATAGGTGACTTGCGAAGAAGGCATCGTAATGGCGGACTCCGTAGCAGACGACGCGGTTGTCTCCAACCCCCAAAGCATCGAAGGGGGCGCGCACATCGAGGTACCCTAGTCACACGTGAAACATGAGCGCAATCTGGCAGTAATCTTGGAAAACGACGCGTGCGGCGTGCGCGCCCCTCTCGGAGGCAATAAGGTGTAGAACGCAAAGCGACGGGTCGGTGGCACCACCGTGCCGTCTTAGAAAAGCATTGGAAACACTTGCCTTTTCATGCAAGTGTTGCATCATCAGCGCAGCGTGATAAGCGCTACGGTCCTTAGAATTACTTATGTATGCCTTTTCTAGTAACGAGACATACATATTGACGTGTTGTTATCGTGCCTCAGATATGCGCTATTATTGCGTTTTAATCGACAATCGCACGAGTATGAACGCTAAATCTTGAGCAATATTTGTGGGTGCTGCCGATGGGCTCGGCCGTTTGGGGTATCGTTTGGTGTCGTTTAGAATATCGTTAAGAGCGGACAAATAGGCTAATTTACGGACAGACAGACCACAATTTTTCCGTCGAAGGTCTCACTCTTCTTTAAAAAAAAAGAACGAGAAGTGCTCGGTGTAACTTTTCTGTTTTGTATTCTTGAACACCTACATACACAATTAATTTTTCAGGGCGTCTTTCAGACGGAAATAGATGATATAGAACACTGGGAAATGAGATAAATTAGCCGCGCTTGGTGAAATAAAACGGCGGAAGTCTGCGTCCTAAAAAAAAAAAAGCCTAAGGAAGTGAGGGACAACTCAGGACACAATCTAGCACTAACCAGGGAAGCACTCTGTGGTGAATAAACCAAATCACACAACAGGACCGCCTTGCTCGTTTAGAATGCTCCTTCAGGTGAGTATAATATAGACGTTATAATTTGTCAGCGGTTTTTCAAAGCAAACACGTGTAATCTAGTAAGACTTGTGAATATTCAAAGAAGGTCCAGTGAACTGATGCAAGTTTAATGACCCATTCATTATGAAGCATAGTACCGGAAGCATGTTTCGGACCTAAAGCTTCACAATTTGAGTCAATTAAGGTTTATTTGGCGGATCTTCACGTGCTGGCTTACTAAACGAATTGAATAAATTGCCCCCGTATTAGAAGTGAAGCCGCAGTGCCGAATCGGTCTCACAAGTATCAATGGCAGGGCATGCAAATTGGTAGGGCATTCCTGCAGAGTGAAATTATTTTCTCAGACACCGGTGGTGAACCCGAGTAAAGCAGCATCGCAGGTTGAAAAAAAAAAAGGACGGCGCGCTGAAAATTCTGAGCTTTTATTGTTCATTAGCACGGATGGCGAATATATCTTAAGATTCGTAGCTGCACGGGAATTCTTTAGCAAAAGAGATCTAGTCAACAACTTGTTGCTTGCAGTCTCGGGTAAAAAAAAAAAAACAAACTTTTACGGGGCTGTTGAAAAACGTACTACGTGCGTTCTTATGAAAGTACAGCACACAAATACCATATCTTTGTACTATCTGCGCTGCGCTTGCCCTGATCACCATTCTCATATTCTGTAACTAGCTACACATGCCCGTTCGTGAGTGGCAAACTTTGGTGCTTTACTCTCACCACTCGTGGTGCCATTTTTACGTCCTGGCGTTACTTTTGTATCCCGCACGACTACGTTGCAGTCCCAAACTTTCGCGAAACATGTAAAAGAGTGTCAACGCTCTGACTGCTTGGCACGTCGTTAAGAAAGTAAAAGTAAGCAGAGCCTAGGGGGGGGGGATGAAGGGGTTCAAACTTTCTTCCGTAAGTTTTCAATTTTGCTTGCGTATATATACACGCTCACATACAAACGCAAGCACGAACATGCCGAAAAACCATTCTGGCTACGCTACTGGAAGCAGGGGTAAAAGAGAAGACAAAACGCCAGCGTCTTTCCCTACCTTGAGGTCCTTGGTCTATACCTGGACCTCTTTTTGTTTCGAGTTGTGCTAAGCAATCATAGGGTGATGATATATTCATGCACCCAAACAGCTACTCTTGTGAGAGTTATAAATGCACACGTTGACAAGAGTCACTCACCATAGACCATCATAGACTGCTTCCGCGAATCAGTGCCAGCCAGGGACGAGACGACGCACGTGTAGAGACCACTCATCTCGGTCGTGGGCCGGATGATTCGCAGCGCCCGGTACTGCGAGTCTCGGGGGCCACCGACCGTGTACGAGTCGTCGAGCCGGCCGGTGAGGATCCCGCTCGTTTGACGCGAGTTCAGCTCCGGTATCCACTGGTACACCGGTTCCGAGAGGTTGTTGAAGAACCACTTGACCACCAGGCGCACATCGTGCTCATTGTACACGTACTCGCAGTCAAGCAATACGGGATCCTCAGTGCCGTTCTGGACCCAGCGAGGCACTGATAACTTCCAGATGGCCACGCAACGAACGCCTGCAGTCGACAAAGAAAGAAAAATAAAAGATGCGTTGCGTCACAGCAGAGTAATGTGAATGCAAACAGGAATAAATGGTAAACAATGGTGATAACAACTTCCACGGAACGAGCGATCTGGCTGCGACCCAAGTTTGTAGCGCGTCGATTCCGTAAATTTTGCGTTCACCACCACCTCGCATCAATCAGCAGCGCATTCATAGTAACTTCCACCCCCTAAACCATAATATTCCTATCTTCATACCTAAATATCACAAACAAATTTGTTAATTTTGTTTATAATTTGTATTACAAGAAGTTACACAGGCACACTGTGTGCTTAGTTCGTGTTTTATGGATACACGTAAAAAAATTTTATTCAGTGAAGCGTCATCTTTCCGATAGCACTTCTGCAGCAAAAGTTCGCGGGTGCTTATTCAACTATCGCTATGAATGCTTTTATTTTAGCTTAGCGTATCTGAAACTAACGCGCGTGCACTTTATATCTGTTTAAGCTTGTCGTATTCGCTGCTTGTTAGTACGCAGTTGTGTCACTTGCTATCTGACACGTCTGTTTTTGCGTGAGGTACAGACGTTGCAAAGCGTGTGTATACGTGGGTGGGCGTGTATATAATGAATTGCGGATCACCATGCACACATTACACACCGTTCATTGTACCTCCTTTGAGAGAACGCAGCCGCAGATGAAGGCCAATAGTATACTACTGTTGCTTTCTTGTGGTTCTGCTCTGTGCAGAGCTGGCTGCACTTCCAACGAGTGCCTTCCTAGTGTAGATAATATGTAAATAAGCTCGAAGCGCCGTCACTTCGTCGCGAATTGAAGGCTTCCAACTGAAACGGGCAAGTTCGCTGTATATAAGGCTTCCCGGTTGAATATAATGCGCCGGAAGCCAAGACATCCACTGTCGTTCAAGACGAGAGACCAGAACGCACACAGCTACGTTGTTCTGCGTGAAGAACCAGGTGACTTCAAAATCAGTGCAGTTTTTTATGCTATTTTTTTTCAAAAGTTTCTGCAGCAACGATGTCTGGAAACGAGAATGTCGGGGAATAGGTAACCCTTTCTGTGGTTTCCTCTCTTGTAGCATAAAACTTCACATATGCGTGTGATATATTTGCTTATTGATGTTTCATAAGCTTTTTGGTCTAGCTTCTCCTGTGTATAGCAGCAGAATTGTGACTCCAATATTAGTGGGAATTTCTAATTTAAACACAACACTTAACAGCAATATTTAGTGGAATTTAGCGCCTTTGCATGCGCATTCTGTGAGCTTTGCCCCCCCAAAAATTGGCTGGGCCACGAGAAAAAAAAAGAAACTAAAGCAATTAAGGGAGAGGAAAGACATCATGAACTTCGACTCACTTCCAGCTTTCTGGAAGGAAGTTCCACAGTTCCGGGTGCAAAAACTTCCGGTCCTTATGGCATGCTTGCTTTTGTAGAATGAGCTATAAAGTGTGTTCCCGTCATGTAGTGGGCCCTTCTTGCTAGACGGGAAGACAAACGACTCCCCTGCGCGCCTAATAATTGCCTTGGCTTTGAGGAGCTAAGCTCCTCTTGCTCGGGGCAAGTCCCTCATCACGCCGTGTTAACTAGTTCTCGCGGGGACTGATAGAGGCGCAGTTTTAGATCACCCACTTCATGGAGTGGCAGAGCAGCACACACTTGTACTGCTTCGTCTTCACTGTTCCGCTGTGCTATTGGGCGCGTGCGCTAGTTAGACAGACGACCGGCAGAGGGCCGAGCCTGTATAGCCGCGAGCTCTTTTGGCGTCTTTTACTTTTCATCGCCGGCAGCTGAGTTAGTACACATCTTCACGCAGCTGCTCATTAAGAATACCTTGGAAGCGAAGGCAGCGGCGCGGAAAGCTCGCAACGCGGCTGCAATGCGTGCGCTCCAGCCAAGACCCCGCAGTGAGAGCTCGCGAGCCCGAAGCAAGGCGTCAGCATGCGCAGCAATCGCAAGCCAGCGACAACAGGCATCCGCAGGTGGTGGCAGCGGCGAGGGCTCACGCAGCCGAAGCAAAGCAGGTTCATCGGCAGGCGGATCTCGAAGTGAGAGCCCACGAACAGAGGTAGCACGCAAGATAACTTCGAATTGAAGGGAGCGCGGGAAGCAGTGGTCCAGTGCCGATAGCGGTCGTTACCTTATGTTGGTGGCGCCGACGCGTGCTGAAAGCGCGACGCGACTTTCTCGATTGCTCGTTCAGCCACAGCTGTAAGGTATGTGACCGCGTGTGGTGTGACAACAACCTCGATCGCCTCTATCCACAGCGACTAGTCTCATGCCAACGCTACCGCCTTGCTCCGCCGAGACTTTCAGTGTTGCCGATAAGCATTAAAGCTTCGCCCCACTCATCATTCATTGACTTCGTTGAGATGGCGTGCTTTTTTTTACATAAAACTGTTTTATGCAGTTCTCCGCCAATACTCGGCGACGTCTTTCTGTCACGGATGTGACGTTGTAAAATGAACGCTACCAACTGAGAAAGAAAAAAAAATCCCAGCATATTCAGGGAGTGGAGGATGATGAATTGGGCGAAGCGGCCATTCGTCCATCCGTAGATATGCTGGGCTGGCTATGCCACCAGAAAGACGTGGGATTGGCCTAGACCATAAGGAGCTTCGGCACTAGAACAACCAAGAAACAGTTCTCCACCGAGCGTCGAACCTTTGACTCCTTGAGAAACGGTGAAAGGTGATTCAGGCAGTAAGTAGGCAGGGTCTGTACGAACGCGCTTTAAATATTTCACACATGATCTCTCGCTCCGTGATCTCTGTTGGCGACAGTTCCTAGATAAAACTAGTTCCTAGATAAGACTTGGTTTATCTAGGTACCTTAGGCGACGCGGGACGATGCTGCCGTCTGTGAGCGCTCAATTTAGGTATTGCGGCATGACGCAGTTAAAGCATGGCGTCTTAGTCTGCGCGTGCACGCACTCTTGGCGGCCATGGGAATAGCTTCTCGATAGCAGTAAAAAATCCGGACAGAGCGAGCATCGGTGAGTCGCCGACGTAGTCATGTTCTTTAATCTTTGCCTGTCGCTTCGTGTTAGCTCGTGACAGCTCGTTGTTGAAGCCGTGCAACTTCCACATACACCAGCGATGTCTCACCACCTACTACTTCAAGCACGGCTGATTTAATAGCACCGGCTGATTTAATAAATCTGTGGCAGTAAGTATACAGCAATGCAACGATGTCAACGGGCTAATTTCATGCATTGGTGGAGCGAAACTGAGGCAGGTAGGACGTGGAATGTCGGCCCGCGTTCGTGGCTCAAGCTGCGAACCTCTGCGTCCCGCATTGCTGAATTATAGGTTTCAGGAGCGCACACTGTGCAAGCTGTCTCTCTACATAACCGACTATCTTCGAAGCCGCGCATATCAAGCAGCGAGGTTTATTTTGTGTGTTTGTTGATGAGTTTTGCACGCGATTGATTGAATATTTGTTTGGTATGTCGGGTTTAACGTCCCAAAACCACCACATGATTGTGAGAGACACCGTAATGAAAGGCTCCAGAAAGTTCAACCACCTGGAGTTCTTTAACGTGCACGCAAATCTGAACACACGGGCCTCCAGTTTGTGCATGATTGACAATTCGCTGTGTTCAGATATACTTTAAAAGCTTCAGTTACCACAATGGTAATAAGTAGGTCATGGGTGGTAGTTGTCGCCATGGAGACATGCCACTAGGCGTCAACGTGGTTGTTTCAACGTCAAATGGTGCTATAGCTGGTAAACGCCAATTGAAATTGTACAAGCTCTCATATATTCCTACACAATGAGCACCCATTCTACAGATGAAGACAAGTTTGACTTTCATGTTATACCAATTCCTATGACGCATAGATCAGCCATGCTTGTTTTTCTAATCAAGAACCTTAGCCTATGGTCACACTACAAGATATATAGGCGCTTCCGGGCCTCGTTTCAAACATGCGCCCTTTCCTTTTCTCTATATTTCCGTCTGCCTCTACATGTTAAACACGAAGTTAGTCAACCTGCATAAACGTCTTAGTAACTGACTGCTCATGCTTTGACGCTAAGTTATAATTCTATGCTGAAGATAAATAAAGCGTAAAGACACACAAAGTAACACAGAAGCTTTCAGTCGGCTTCACGTATTGTCGCTTTCAGTCCCGAAAGAGTTGTTAGGTTTACGCCGGCTGCGCAGAGCAGCTCTTCTGCATCGACTAGGCTCTCTTGGGGATGCATTTAAATAAGCTCCACACTAAACTTCTCGTTAGCAGACTTACCGAGTCGCAAGAGGGTTAGCGCGAATGAAATCTCCAACCCTTACGCATATGGGGCTCTCGCTCGTAAGCTGCTTGGAAACACCACGCAGACCTACGTCGCTGGGCTGCTTTAATTGGAAGGATTTTAAAGACTTTAGTCAAAGATTTACATGTGAATTTTGCGCGCACTACTGGCATTCTGTGAGACTTTGCAGCTGCCGTTTGCGCCCTTCTGTGCTGCCTCACTAAACAGAGGAAACAGTGAACGGTAAGCTGATAAGTAAATAAATAAAATGCAATATGATATGTATTAAATTGTGAGTTTACAGCATCTACACATTTTGCTACGACTAATATTTTCTGCTTTTTTCATGTTACCACCCCATTGAAATGTAGCTACTGCCCTGCACAGAGCGCACCGAAATAACCGAGAACTATCTAGATAATCTTGGAACCTGGACGCGAACGTTAGAGTCAATTTTGAAACTTACGGTACCCCAAGCGATAACAATGGAATCTTTTATGATAAATATATAGCCGAGGCGCTTGACCACTTGTCAGTTTTTTTGATGACCGACGCTCTGTACGCTGATACTAGTGTGCATCATACATTGCTTGTATTTCGGCCTCCCGCTCCATGGCCATAATTTTGGCCATATAAAGAATTTCATCAGAAGAAGCTTACTGCCGCCTTCGTTAGCGTTATGACACTGCGACAAATATAGATTGGCTTCGTTAATTTCATTCACGTTTTCTGAAAGCTGTTT